TCATTAAAGCTGTTACATGATCTTTCATTTTTAACAAGAAATGTGATGATTTGTAGATTCATTTTGACAGGATCATATTTTTAAAATATTATTTAAAAGTACATATGTGTTCCTTTCTCTTGTTTTTAAAATGGAAATTTTATGAAATTTATACAGATTTTGCGTTTTTGAATAAAAAATTACTTTTATATTCGGAAAGGGTTGATATTTAGGGTTGCTTTTCGTTTCTGCTCAAAAATTTATTTAGGTGTGTACAAAAATAAGTACCTATTTTAAAGTTAAACGAAACCACCTGGATTTAATTAAAATTTATGAGTTTTTTTCTTTTAAATGAACAATATTTCTTATTTCTAAGTCTCTTAAATTTATATTTAAATTTTTAATCCTTATTTGAGTTTTCAAATAATTAACGGGTATTTATCATCATTTCTTTGCGTTTAGAATATTATTTGAATAAGTATGAATTAAAATTTGTCTTAAAACGGTTTAATACGATTTTCACTATTATTTATATAAAAACTTATTCAAATAGAACTAGAAAAGTTTTGTTAATATAGTAATTTTTATATAAAACCAAATTACAAATTTTGAATTTTTTCTTTGAAAAGAATTATCTAAACATTTCAATTTCAAATGAATAAAAACTTCAGAATGCCAAATATGTTATTTAAATAATGAATTCTTAATAAATGATTCATAAAAAATCACAATTTACACTGAAAGTTCCCACAGTTGAATAAAAATATATCCACAATAATTCATACAAGTGCTATTATTGCATATATGTATGTAGTCATAAAATTACTTAAAATTCTATTCATAATTTGCAATTTATTATTTTAAATATACAATAATATTAATTTATATGTACATAATTAAAATATTTGCCGCCAGGATCTCTGCCTATATTGATTGTACTGTTGGATGAAGAAATTTTTTTTTTATTCTTATCAATGTTTTCAAAATATACGCGAAAAATTTTCTATTTTCACTACGCATGTTCCATTATTTTTTATCCGGTTAAAAATTTTTCTGTCATCTGGCTAAATTTCCTATGTAGCTTATGAATAGGAAATTATTCTCAATATTGTGAGAAAATGCTACAAATCGACAAATACAATATTGTCAGCACGAAAGAAAGAGAAAAAATAGCATAAAACTGAAAGTGTAAACAAAAATATAAATTAGAACTTTTCCTTGAAATACCCTTTTGTTTATACAGAGAGTGGAAAATTTGTGAGAAAATTTTCAAATTGACAGATGTAAAGATTTCTAATAATTCAGTTCAGTTTTGCGCTGTTGTTATAGAAGAAAGCCATTAATAAATTTTATTTATAAACAAAAACTTTTTATTTTTTTTACAAAATAAAGTGAAAAATGTAAAAAATGTATTTCTTTAATTTAAATATTTTGCAAAATATTTTTTTTTAAAAGTGAATTTTCTTTACAAATTGCCTTTTTAGCAAGTGCAATTGAAAATTTTCTGTTTTGCTTCTTTTCAAAGTTTTGATTTTAATAAAGGAAAACTCTTTCTTGAGAACAAATTTTAAATGTGTCTCCATCTTTAAGAATAATTTTCATAAATGTGTGGAAATAAATTTTATAAGACTTTAAAATTTTCGTAAAATAAAACTCTATTGTTTCGAAAACAAAAATATGCATAGTTTTGTTTAAAATTAATTATACATACCATATGTATGTATATAACATATATTATACAGGTTTTTTATGTATTTATATATATACATACATATTTATATACATAGGTTATCATAAATATTTGAATTATAAATTTAAAGTAAATATTTACTTAATGTCTATATTTTGGAAAAATAATTATTCTTATAAGTTATTCTTTCTAAAAACATTATTTAGAATTTTGAATATTTTTTTACAAATTCGAAAATTTTAATTAGTTACTAATTGTTATTGTAGCAATTAACCCTTATTATGAAAGTAATTTTATGATAATACAATTCTATTGCAAATTCACGAAATTATTATTTAAATTCAGATAATTTAAATTTAAAAGGAAAAATTTAGCTTACATTTAATGTCTGTTCAAAATTTAGAATACCTTATGGAAAAAAATAATGCCTTATATGTGAATACTTAAAAAATTCTTATACCAAATAAACGGCAACACTTTTATTTTGAATATATTAGCAAAACAAATAAAATATTTATGTATGTACTTTGTGATAAACGAAAACATATGTGTACGTACATAAGCATTAAAATATTTTTTTTTATAAATTTATAAACATCGCCACGAAACTCATAGTCAAAATAATAATGACAAGACAAGCCATAAGCAAAAAAAAGCAAGAGTATGACTAAAAAAGAGAAAATGAGAAAAAATTAAAAGAACATTCTCTTTTATAGAGCAGAAAAAAAACTAAATGTCAGCGAATTTCCTTGACTAAATTAATAAATTTCGAGAGAGTCCTTAGGTAGGTACTTTAAAAATTTTTCCGTGAAAATCCTCTTAGATATATACGTGCTCTACCTACCATATTAGTTAGTATTTTTTTACCTTTGTGTGATTATTTTTAAAAAACTTTGCATTTTTTATTTTAAAAAAATAATGGTGCTCATTTAATATATACATAAAGATTTTTTAATTATTTTCCACTTATTCAATTATATAAATTTTTTAGAAATTCTAGAAATAATTAAATTTGCTAAAAGAAAAATTTATATATAAAAAATACACATACATTTTTCATTTTCATTAGAAAGGTTTTTCTCCTGTCTTTTTTCACTGATTTTCCAAAATAATATTTCTATAGTATACATACATAAAAAGTCTAGCGTTTTTCATTTAGTTTTTATATGTGATAAATTTTTCCGTATGGTTTTTATATTGGAAATCGTCCGTGTACATTAGAAAGGCAACAACCAGTACTCTTCAATATTTTGCTTGAGGAAAATTCTCTAAAAAAAACCAAAAAGAAAAATTTTGTGATTTATCCTTTTTTAATTTTTATTTTAATAATAATTAATTGTTAAAATAATTATAATTAATCAAAATTTACAAAATTTAATTAAAATACAACAAAATATATAAATGGGTTTATTTTAATATTAAATGTAAAAAAATTATGTTTGAAATTAAATTATTAAAAAGTGTACACAGAAAAAAAAAATTTTTTTTTTAAAGTAGTTTGGTGAAAAAAGGAGAAAACGAAATTAATGATTTTTCCTGACATTCATTTTGAAAAAAATATTAGACGGCGTAATTAAATATTGAAAGGAATGAAAAAGGAAAAATTTATTAGATTATATTTAATATAAACTAGTATACATAGGGTATGTACATTGAAAATTGTATAATTTAAAGTGAGTACCTACCATATAAAATAAAATTTATTAACAAATTAAAAGTGTTCTAAGAAATTTAAAAAAAAAATATAATAAATAAAAATTTTAATAGTGTAAATTATAAATAAAAGTGATTATTTAAAAAAAATATACACAATTTTATTTAAATAAATAATAAAATAAATTTGCAAAAAATAAATTGGTGATATTTGTAGGTATGAATTATAAAGGTATATTATTTAATGTGGCGTTCGAACTTTTTTTTATATAAGTATTTTAACCAATATATTGAATATAATTTTAATACACACATAGCCTTAGTTATAAAAATTTTTAAATTATATAATTTCATTAATAAGTAGTTGAAATAATAAAATTAAGAAATAATTTAGTGTTTACAATTGATCTGAAAAACAAAATTTCAATATTCAAATCAGTAGTGTAAATTATTTTTTAAATTATTAAAATCAACTACATATCTCTATAATCGTCTATTTTATTAAAATATTAGAGAATATTAAAAATCTTATATAAATATAATATAATTTCATTGAAATTATATTAAAACAAATATAAATTATATATAGACGACCAAACATTTTTATATACATATTTCAAGAACAATATATGTATAGACACATGTACCAAATATATAGATATACATAAATATACATATATATATTTATATAGATACTTCAGTTATAACATTTCTATTATGAAAAATTTTATATATTGAGATAAAATGAAAATAAATAAAATATTAATAATTTATTCTTAATAATAATTATTATTTATTGCTCTTACTTTTCTTTTTTATACATTCATTTGTCATATCTCATACATATGTCTATATATATTATTATATTGTACATAATAAATTATATAGCAATGTAGATAAAATTTGTACATAATATACCTAAAATATTATTGAGTATGTATACTAAATGTACCAAATACTGAGCATCCCCATTAGATGGCCATGAACTGGTTACTATAGAGATCAATAATACAAAAAAAAAAAACAAAAAATTTAGGATACTGGAGGGTTTAAATATAAGCTACATACTTATAATAATATGGTCTTATAAATATTAATACACATGAGTACATATTTTGTGTTTATAATATAATACAGAGAGCCTGAAAATATATATACATATGTATGTATGCATTATTATGTATAATAAACGTATTTATGTACTACGTGGTTTTATTATTGCCAATAACAATAGGTACTCGATGTCTAATTATTGTTAATAAAAAAGACCATTATGTCTAATTATTATTTTAATTAAGATATTTTCATTCTTAATATGTACATATTTAGAAAAAAAAAAATTATCCAAATTCGAGTATTATAAAACTATATACATTAGTCCTTACTTTACAATATTTCACTCACTTATGGGTTAGGAGTTTTTAGAATATAGGTTTTCTTTATGTCTAAAAGACAAAAATTAATTGTAAATTTTCTTTTCTTTTTTGTAATTTAATCGTACATTATAATTACTAAAAATACCAATAAATTAGTAAAATTATTACAAAAAATTTATCATAATAAAACTTTAATGCAGTTACTTATTTATTGTCCACTTGCGTATCTTAATAATCTAAATATAATAAAGTGTATTTTCTATAAGCATCTTATTTGTTCACAGTAATTATTCAATTTTAAAGGATGTTATACACATCATTAAAAAATTATTTTAGAATAATTTCTTCAACAAAATGTATAATATTTACGAAATGATCAAAAATAATAATCCTTCATATTCAGTGGCCAAAGATTACATATAACTTTAGATTATAAGTGAACGATTAATGTTTTGAAAAAAATTTGTAGCTATAACAAGAAAAGAAAAATAGAAATTGAATAAAAATTCAACAAAAATGCATTTTTGGATTGATAAACGTTCACAAGCTTGTGGATTTGGGCGATCACGTGTTGCTGCTTCTCTGTCGAACGCAGGCAGCTGTGGTGGCTATGGACATCAGCCGCCACGTCGTCATTTATCATCAAAGACTACATCTTTGCCACCACCGACAGTTCATCGACATCAAAATCAAACGGATCATCGTTTTCATAATAATAATACTCGTAATAATACTAGTAGCAGTAGTAATAATAGTAATATTCATAACAGTGATAATAGTTATAACAATAATTTAAATGGTGCTAATAGCAGCCGACATAATAATAATTTACATCGTAACAATCGTTATTGTAATCAGCAACAACAGCAACAGCAGCAGCAACAACGTTATTTACAACAACAGCAGCAGCAACAGCAACGAAATCAATATGAGCAGCAAACACAACAACCGCAGCAAAATTACACAACAAATGATATTGCTGCTTATATTGATGGTAATGAACAATTTTATACAGTTGGTGGATATATAAACGGAAATGGTAATTATTGTAATAATCGTAGTTATACAGCTACAACAACAACAATAACTGACGAAAACAGCGTTATGAACAATCATTATTCAAGCCCTAACTTAAATTCAAGTCCAATAATGAGTTCAAATCCCACCAATGATAGCAATAACATTTTGAATAATTTGAACACAAGAAATAATTTAAGTAATAATAATAACAACAATAATAATAACAATAATAGCAATGGAGTACCAGTTAACAATAGCCAAAGATATCATCATGTCAATATAACACTGCCACATGTTTACGGGTACGTAATATAAAGTAACTAATTTCCTCTATATAATCATGAAGTACTTAGTTTTTTCTGCAAAAATAGTATACGTTATTAATATTTACATAATTAATTATTATTATTTTAAATTTTAGAAATTCCCCAAACGCACAAAATTTAGAACAAGGTCCATTAGGTTTAATGGGAGCACTATCAACATCTGCAATTAATTCATCAAATACAACTTTAGCTGCTCGACAACAAGCAGTCTCAGCGGCCAATCAACAACAACAAGAGCAACAGCATCATCACCATCATCATATTGTTGAAAATAATGAATCACAATTATTACCATCACATTTAAAATGTGGTATGTGGGCATCATTAGTGCTAGCAACATTATTTGTAGCCGGTGCAAAATTTTACTTTGATCATCAAGGAACTGGTTTAGAAGTTTTAATATTTTGCGCATTTTGTACAACATTTTTTTTAGCAGCATGCACCGTATCATTATGTCGTTTTCCACGTGAATTAGCTAGAACACCAGCAACTAGTTTAGAACATGGTTTAGATGTCAATAGTATAAATGGTTCAAGTAGTGCAACAACTGTTATAAATGGTATGATCGGCTCTACATTAAATATTCAGCAAAATCGTCAACAACAATATTCACAAAATAATTACGATCAACTTCAGCAACAACATCAAGATCATAATCAATTACTGGCGATTGCATCAGCTGCTGCACCACCACCATATCATATTGCTATACTATTGCCAGAAACAACAACAAAAGATATTGTTGAATTAGATGAAACACCACCGCCATCTTACGATAAAATATTAATTTAATATCGTTTTACAATCACAATAATAAATATTATTATTAAAAAAATATATTTATTAAAAAATTATACATATTATTGCTATGTAATTTGAATGTGAATATAAGCATTTTTGAAAATGTTTATTAACATTTCTATTTGTGTGATTTTATTGTCAAAACAATATTGTATAACAAAATTTAATTAGCTATATACTTACATTTAGTAAAAGGAAAAAAATAAACGTGTAAATGTAAAATTTATCCAACATTTATAAAAAAAATTAAAATTATTAAATAAGTTGATAAGTAAACGTTAATTTAAATCTTATCAAGTAAAATTAAGTGAAAAATGAAGAAAAAAATATAGCTGTGTAATTTTACATATTATTCTAGAATATTAAATGTATTTAAAAAAAATTGTTAAAATGGTGCCAAAAAATGAAGAAAATTTTTTTTTTTAAAATCATTAACCATAAAATTGTTATACAAAAACTTTTAGTTTATTTTTTTGAAATGGATTCGTTGGATTCGTTAACAAAATTTCGTTAGGGTCTTAGGATATTTGATTTATTCGATAAAAAGCAGTTTTAGCGGATGTTTTGTGATGTTTGTATAGTACTATAGTACTATACCAAAGAAGCTGATCTTGCTTCAAAATTGAATTGAAATTGCAATTAGTATCGTTAAACGTTTCTGGCTTCCGTTTTCTTTATCCGAAAATCACAAACAACTCCAATAATATAAGTTAAATAGCTCAAATTCGAAAAATTTAGTACTCCATATAGAATTTTAATTATATATAGCCAATATTTTATCGTTTTTATATCCGCTAACTTAAATTTAATTAAATTATACATTACGTATTATACGTACATCAACGAGTTTTATTGAAATTTATCGGCTCTAATTTATTTGAGTGATTAAGATACTCATAAGTAAAAATATTAAAAATAATATATTAACAATAATTACAAATAAGTTAAATTAAATTTTATTAATTTTAAATATTAATTATAATAAATTTATTAAGATAATTTTATATTGTAATACCATTTTTGACAAAATGAAATAATTTATTACTTACGTCTTCACAAAAGAAAAAAATAATTATTAATAATAATAATAATGAAAAAGAATAGATTAATTTAATTATTATGGTAACAATAATAGAAAATTTTGAAAAATGTTATTTTAAATCAAGTGTACATGTATTTGTTTCAAAAATGCATAGCTAATTGTACTTAATAGTAAAAATTAATTATTTAATTTCTTATTTAATTATTGGAAATTTATTTAATTTAATGATCTTCGAACGCTCGAATTTTAATTATGTGAAATAAATTACACGACGTAAAAATAAAATTGTTTGAATTCTAATTTGATACATACACAATAGAATTAATTATTTTCATACTGGAATTTGTTCAATTTAAGTAGGATTCCGGAATATTCAAAATTCGTAGATTTGAAATTTCAATTTCAAAAATTTATGCAAGATAATTTATAGCTGCGACACAGATTGAAATTTGTGTTTCAATCTGAGCTTGTAAAATGTAGAAATTTCAGCGAATAATTAATGTGTTAATTTTTGCAACTGTAATTTCTTTAGAAACACATAACTAGGTCTGTTATTGAACAAATTTTGAATGTTGCAAAACGTTTTAGCGCATTTTTTTTTTTTTTTTTTGTCAAAAATTCTGCACAAATTATAATTTTTCTGCTTTTCCTAAAATAAAATCTATTATAATCCGCAGTTTTTTTAAACAGATTTATACTTGATATTCTTAATCTATTAATAAATAATTGCACTAAAAATATGAACAAAATATAATTTTAATCTTTCAATATAACTTTCATTTAATATTTCTACAATTGAAGTGCTCATTCGATATTATTTGAATTACATTTATTAAAAAATTATCAAAAATTATTAAAAAACATCCACGCATACAACACAAATTCTATAAAATATTAATTAATATTTTACTCTCAATGATTTTATAAAATATATTTTAGCCGTTTATAAAATTTAATTTCAAAATGTTCTACATACAAATATATATTACATATACATAAATAAAAATCTATATATTAAAATTATACACAAATGAATATTGGAAAAAAAATTAAAAACAAAAATGTTTAATTAAATTTTTAATCATTTTTCAATAAAATGAAACAAAATTGCACAATATTTCTTCTTATATACTATTGTATTTATTAATTTTAAAACATTTAGAATAATTTTGATTCCAATTTACATACATATATTATACATACTTATATACAAAAATTAAAATTAAACACATATATATATATATATATATATTAAAAACATTATATATAATAAAGAAAACTTTAAAGAACTGAATAATTTTATCAAAAACCAAAAAATATAAAAAAAATTAAAAAAAAAATTATGAAAACACAAAACTTTTTACAAAATGTAATAAATATTTTTTTTGTTTTTTGTATGTATGTTACGTAGGAATTATTTAACATAAAGATTTTTTTAAAATTTTAATATAAAAAAATCTAAAATTAATTTCAATCGGTTAAAATATTTTTTTTATAAAAACATTCACATATATACATTTGATATGTATATAATATATACATATGTATAAATAATATAAACTCTAATTTAGAATTGTTAATTAAAAAAATATTAAAAATGTAATAATTAATGAAAGGAACAAAATATTAATTTAAACTTAAATTTAAGAAGCGCTTAAGAAAAAATGTTTAATGAAAAAAAAAAAATCGAAAAATTATCAAATAAAATTTTATCGTTTCAATTTATCACAAAAAATATAATTGTAATAATCTTTCTATATCATGATAAGTACATATTATGTATTATATATATATTATATATTACTTAATCAAAATATGATTGTTCTTCATAAAACACTGATAGAGCGTAATCAATATGGCTAAAAGTACTTTAAAATCAAAATACAGAATATATTTCATTTATTATACCCGATTTAAATATAATATTTTATTAATTAAAACGGCGGGACCGGACAATTAACTGATTATATAATTTTGATTAAGAAAATTTATTTTTTATTTAAAATAAATCATTCCACATAGAAATAATTCATATATCAGTTAAGTAAAGGCTATACAACAGTTTTACCTAAAATATTTGAACTTTATCAATTTAAAATAAACTATAAAATGATTGTGTTTATACAAATTTAATTAATTTCTCTATATATAAAACACTTGTAGTTAAATTTCAATTAAATCTAAGATTATTACATTAAATAATTATAACACATCAAACGTGTGTAACACTTCAAGTGTATAACACTCCCGTTAAAGTATAAGTATCAGCCTACATAAGTTAAGAGTAGATTTATTCAGATTTTATATTTTTATGTGGGAAATAAAAATAATATCAAATCCTTGAGGTTATGAGATTTAATTTTTTCTTCCGTATAATAAAACTTTCATACACTACACCACAGTGTTCCATTTACAAATAAGTATTTCGAAGTGTTATATACTCTTAAATGGAATACAAACAATATAATAAATTGAAACGATTTGTATTTATCAGTAAAAATTAACTTTTTTAAAAATCTTTAAAATAATATCTTATCAACTTGTAATTATAAATAACTCTATTATACTGTAAAATCATTTTTAATTTTTGCATATTTTTATTTTAATTGAAAACTATTACTTTTCAGTAATTGAAATTCAACTTATAAGCATAATACTATATTGTAGAAACATAAAGTATTATGTACAAAGTGATAAATATATTAAACTTATGTAAAAACAAATTAGTGATTTCCGATAATTTGAAACTGAGAAACTGAAACTAACTTTTACAAAATGCGTCTGAGAATTTTTAAAAAATTTTTGTATAAAACTGACAACATTCTTAACAAGATTTTCCATTGATTGTTCAAAATATCCAAAATGTTCTTTAAAAGTACGCACTTCTAATTTACTGTTTAAATAAGTATAGCTTATGATCTAAGATTGTGAAAATGAAAATTCCCTTTTTTGTTTTTGTAACCTTACTTCCCCCTTTTTTTGTAATCCTACTTCCTATGGAATTCTTTTGTGCTTTGAATGCGCACAATTTCCAATTATCTGAAATCACTTTATAATAACAAAATGTTTTTAATTATAAAACATATATAAATTACAAAAATATTTATAAAAGCATAAATATATATTAACATATTTTAACCTTTTTTTTTTCTAGATTCACAGAATCTCAAAATATTAAAAAAAAGAAAAACTTTAAAATTAAAATTAAATAAAGAATATATAAGAAATAAAAACGAAAATCTTAGAAGAAATCTAAAGTTTATATTTCTCAAATATTTCAAGCTAAACTAAAAAATAAAATTCTTGAGAGAATCTAAAGAAAAATTTTGAATGAATTGAGAAGAAATGCACTTTTGGATTGATAAAAGATCCCAAGCAAATATCAACCAGTGCCGAGCTAATGCCAGACTAACACTAAATCGCTTACAACCACTTGAATACGTTAGACCACCTCATCATCAACATCACCATAATAATAGCAACAACACTTCCGCTAATGGTAGCAATAATAGCAATTGTAATTATAATTACCCTTATTTAAATCCTTCAAATAATAATAATAACCATAACAGTAATAACGCTAATAACAATAATAGTAATAATAATAATAATAACAATAGTAGTAATAATAATAATAACAACAGTATTTTGAGAAGCTCAAGTCTAATATCAAATACTCCAAATATTAATTCTCCAAATCAAGTTAATCGTAGTATTAACAGTAATAATATTATTAATATCAGGAACAGTAATAATTGTGGCAATTCCACTGCCGTTAACCCAATTAATTTAAATATGATAAATACAGCGGCTACTGGCTCGGCACATTCTAGTTATAGGTAAGTTATTTCTAGATTTGGCAATATGTAATCTTTTTTCTAATTTATTCTTTTGCAGTTGCTAATAATATATATTTTTTTTTGTAATATTTTTCAGAATTCCCCATCATCAAAATATTGATATTGAAACAACATTCGGTCCTAATGACCAACATCATCAACAAGAACCAGTTGTAAGAACACAGCCACATTTAAGATGGCAAGTTCTCGTTATATTTACCTTCTTTGTAGTTACAATTCGTTTTTATGTTTTGGGTAATAGATCAGAGGTATTAATTTATTGTATATCAGGTTTAATATTGGTTATGGCTTTATTAATATTTTCTGCTCTTAATTTACAAAAACGATTAACAAATGGAAATAACAATTTTAATACAACTTCACCACGTTTCGATGGTGTACAACATACTCGTTTAATAAATGCAAATAATAGGTTGGGTGGTGTAATAGGAACAAATAATTCGCTTCATCAGCAAGAACAAATTGCAACTGGTAGTAGATGTCCATATGTACAACAACTAGTATTACAAAATGCTACAGGACCATTAAATAGAAATGGAAATAACCGTGATGCACAAATTTTAGCTGAAGCTGTTGTTTTATTACCACCTTCACCAACACATATTTCACATAACGATATTAGAAGACATCAAAGTGAAAGTTCAATTGCCCCACCACCATATGATAAGGCAATACTATTACCAAATAATGCAAGTAATAATAAGAAATTTGTTGGTATTGAAATTGAAAGTAGCGAAGATGAAACACCACCACCATCTTACGCAGCCGTAACAGACATAAATAACTGACTAACAGTTAATATTGCAGATGAAAATTAAAAACTATATCATAACACAATTATTAAACATAACATGCATACACACATATATTATTCATGTGTTTCCGGCTTTTGACTGTGTTCAACGTGTTGAAAGCTTTATATCCTTTTTCTTGGAAAAATCTTGTGAAATGAAGATTAAAATTTTATCACGTAAAGCAATGTAGAACAGCAATTTATGCTTCATAATCAAAGCATATCGTAAGTTATTTTAGGCTTTTAGAATTCTAAATTGCGAATACGTAAACGAAGTTTTTGCAAAGTTCGAAAAATATTCTTTGAAAATCATGCTCAATATATTATATTATCTGCAGGTGTGAATTTTTGTAGTATTTTATAAAATCTGGATTTTCGGCATTTCTGTTTTTCAATAAATTAGAACGCCATGGGTCTAAAAGTACTACATTAAATGCATACATAAAGCGTTTAAGATTTCTGGTTTTGACATGAAATATTAAAAAACCCCTCACATATGTAAGAGAAATAAGAATATTATTAACAAAATTCTTACTATTCAAAAAAGATTTCGTATATTTTAAGGTTAATTAAATAGTATTAAAATACCTAACTGTTTTAACTTATAACAGAAAAAAATAAAATAATTTTCTACCACAGAAAACTCAAATAATAATCTTGTATAATCTGAAACAATAATCTTGCAAAACCTATACCTGGACACATTTACCTAAACACATTTTTTTATGCTGGGTTTAACTACTTTTGTTTAGTGTTAATATTTCCAAAAACACGTCTTAATTACTTACTACTTTTTTATCAATTATACACGGTCCCACAAATGAAAATTACAAAAAATCATTGCATCAAAACTAAAAAACTCTAATTTACTAGTTAATTTTTAATTTATATAAATGCCTTTTAAATTTTCGCAAATTTAGTTTCCAAATAATCTTTTTGAAATATACACATAGTTTACACAATCATATTTATCCATCTTACCATAATAGTTATTCCTTCAAATACAACATGCATTACTCACATATTTTATTACAACACACGACACAATATAATATAGTGAATACAAGTTCCAATGTGATAAAACTTTCGCACACCGATCTTATAATAAATTCAAACAAAGTTTAGTGAAATAAGGGTTTCCATAACTTATAAATTTAAGAATCCTAAATTATTGCTATAAAATATACAAACAAACATATATTTTTCATCTAAAATTAATCTAAAACTAACTTAAGTATATAATTCATATTAATGTATAAAATTTATAATAAAATATAATTAAATAAGAAGTTGATTATTATTATTCAATATAATCTCGTTAAAATAAAGTTAAATTAAGTCAATTGTCCTTAAAAAAAAATACTAAAAAATTTTGTAAACAATTTTAAAATTTTAGTTTAATTTTAGAAATAGAATCCTATATATATATATAAACAAACATATATAACATTTTTAAAAAACAACTTTCCAATTTTCAAATAAATATTAATTAATGGAAATAAAACTGATCAAAATAAGAACTTTATTTACATAAATTTCCAGTGATCAATTAAATTCCTTCAAAAATAAAATAAATATCAAACGGTTTACTAAGAAGTTCTACAAACTATGCACATAATTTTATCTTTGAATTTCTGAAATACATATGAGGAGAAATCAAACTTGCGTGCGAGTATTACAATAGAAAAAGTAATATATTTATAGAGTTTTGTAATAAAATTCAATATAATATAGAGTGAAAATATTTTGGAGTAAGTCGGAATTAAGTTCAATTCCTCGTGGTTGAATAGTTGAAAATACTTAATTAGCTAGCTATAAATTGATCTAGCTAATCTAATTAGGTATGTACTTGTTAAAATGAAAGCTTTTAGTTTTGTTAAACGCAAAAGATATTATTAATAACAATTTAAATAAATTTTAAATAATTAAAATATATTTGATTATCCTTATGGCAATTCAAATTTCCTGCATTATAAAAGAAAGCTCTTAATCATAATACATATTATATTGAAATATTTTTTAAGGCATCGTAAGGATTAATGAAAAGATCAGTAAAATAAAAATTAATTTATCTTTGAGGTGTTAACGCGATAAAGAAAAAATCAAAGTATAGTTTCAAAAAGCACAAATTTTTTTATATGGACTCAATTAAAAGTAAAATTTTGATAAATAATTACAAAAGTATAAAATTTAATTTTAATTTTCTCTTCTTAAATTTTATCAAAATTCACAATACAAAAGGATGCGAAATTCTGATGTCGAAGAACTCATTACGAAATATAATTTTTTAAAAAATAAATGATGTTGACTGGCACAAAGCGGCATTTCTTAATATATATTTTCATTTTTGTTTTAAGTATGTATAGTTTGATTTTATTGCATACAAGACGCACGCCAAATACTTTACATGATTTGTTAAATACAAATAGTACATGTACAAAATGATAAGAGAATGTTAAAAAAAGGTCAATCCAGTTTTCAGAAGTTGCAAAAATTGAAAAAAGTAAAGTAATAATGAAATTCAGAATCAATAATTTGTGTACGACAAAGTGATTGTATATAAAAATATTTATCTAAATGTGAAATGTTTAATAGTGTATTTTCATCTAGTTGAAAAATACTTTTCCTATAAAAAGCTAGCCAAACTCAACATTATTAAAATATGGAATTAATAAAAAATTTGAAATACCAAACAATAAAGGATTTATATTACCGCTTGAGTATCCAATAAAAACTAAATACAACTACTAATTTCAAAGAATAATTTTTATGAATTACCCATTTGCAAAAATAAAATCCTGTCGCATGCTATTATACTCGTTTGGATAAATTTAACTTAATCATAATTTGGAAATTGCAATTGAATATACGATATAATATGTAGAGGGAATACAAATTTTAATGACAGTCTCATTAAGATTTTGAGCAGCATCATTTAACAAAAATTATAATTTCGGAATGCGGATCATTTTCTTTATTATGGTTTTTATTTTTTTTTTTATTGAGAACCAAATCAAAGTAAAATTATCCTCAATGAATTCAGAGCATTTAAGCTTGTATATATGATTATTGACATCCTGAACTGTAATTTGAAAAAGGTTTTAAGGCGGTTTCAATTACTTTTTTTTTTGTTTTGACTTCTCTGTACATACTATTGGAAGCTATAGGACGCAAAATTTTTTGTCTTATTGACAATTTTTTATTTGTTAATGATAACATCTACTTAATATATACCCCCAAAAATTTGCTTCTCTCTTTTTTGTTTAAATATCGCAATAGTTATCTAATTACAGGCTATAAAATTCTATATTAGCTTCTTATTTTATATTTTTAGCCTTTAGTGAAAATTATTGTATTTAAGGCGAATGAATTATAACAGCAGCGGCGGCTTTTTTATTTAGCATCTTGTTTGTTATGTATAACACCTTGATATATTTTAAAAGAGAAATATTATTTTTACACTTTTCTTTTTTATATCATTAGCAATAATATGTATAGCTTTAAGTGAAAATTACCTTATAATTATTTACAAAATTAAAGAAAATTTAATATATTTAAGTCCAATGATCCTAAGATTTTATTTAAGGACAAAAAAGTCTTTATTGCATATTATATACCCAAAAGTCCTAATCATTTACGTTTGCACAACTTATAAGCATCATGTCTAATAAGAAATTTTTTAACAGAATTTTTGAAGACAATGTTGTTTTGAACGCGTGCATATAAGTATGTGCACAACGTTTGCAATCGCGTAATTTAAGGTTATAAGCGTCTTATTTAAGTGCATTTTGTTCTTAATTATATGTGACATAATCAAATAACATAAATTTTATATTTTCAAAAATAGTTTAGCCAACATATTTTATATAATAAACAATATAAGGATACATAAGCAGATTGAAAAATGCATTTTTATAAAAGACAAATTAGAATAACAATCAAAATTTATAAAAAAATGTTAACAAGGATGCCTTAATAGGACCACAATAATATTTTAACTGCATTTTAATCAGATTTGATTATATGTTTTCCAATATTTTCTAATTGGACTTAAAAATGATTTCTTTTGATTAGTGCCGCTAGATGTCAGAAGAAGTATTGGTATAAGAAAAAAAAACCACCTTCGAATAATTTCAATAAAAATTTCAATGAGTTCAATGCAAATTAAGTAATAAATAGTTTGTTTTTTCTTTTCTTAAAAATAAATTGCTCATGATTACATGTAATTTAATATTTTTAATGCTATGATTTGTTTTAAATGAAATTTATTATATTACATAATCAAAGACATAAAATTGTACATGCTCCCATTTAATATAAGCTAGCTCTCTAAATTAAAAATATGTACATATGTATAACTACGCTTTAATTTTTAAATGAGCCAATAACTGATTTTAATTAAAATTTTATCAAATCAAGAAGATGCACAATGAATATTTAATTTTTGATTGTACAAAAATATAATAAAAATTAGAAAAAAAAAATAATGGAAAATTTATTGAAGGAAAGAAACTATAAGCAGTACCAGATAGAATATTAGCAGCGGTGGTCTTAAAAGAACGTGGTCATTCTGGGCATAATACATAAAGTTAACAATTATCATAAAAAATTGGATGTGATCAACGCCACTTTGTATATTTTCTAATGTATATTCTACAATGTTATTTATTAATATACAATTTGATCTATATTCAAATTTGAAAAGTGCCAGTATTTTTCTAAGTAATATGACTATAAAACTTAAAATTTAATTGTTAGTACAGGTGTCATGACTTTTCTTCTGTTTTAACGATCAATTAAATATTAAATATACAAGGAAAAATATGTATAAATTTGTCACACATTTTAGTAACTGAAACCTAATTTCCTTGGAAAAGCTAGTGGTTTATTATATTTTTTGACCGATTGTTTTTTTCTCCATACTTTGAATTGAGATGAAATTGAGCCGGTACTAAAAATCTCCATTTTCCATTCTCTTTCAAGCCATAAATAAAAAGTTTCATATAAAAATTGAAATTCTTCATGAAGTATACTCAATCAGAACACCCCAATGAAATATTAAAACTGAAAACATACAATGTTTTTCCCATTTTTCATAAGACAACTAAATTGAGGTGGAACCGTGATAAAATTAAAAAAAAAAAATTATAAATTGTTGTGATGCCCACCATAAAATGGCTATAATTGCCTTTTAATGTTACAATACTATATGTTTCGGCGCTTAGAATTATATTCTAGGATATTATATCCCATAATTCTAATATTTTCTTTTTGTATAAAATCATTATGTACAGTATATATTGTTATAAAGCCCAAAAAAAATCATTTAAGAATTAGACCAATTTTAATTGAAAATAAAATTAATAAAAAAAATTTTTTAATCCAATCCACTATAATTAAATAAATTGAATTGAAATGGGAGGTCAAAATGTTTTGGTTGTAAAATTAAAATTGATTTAAGACTGATGGTCATGATGACTGATGTTATTATAAAAAGTATCGAGGTAAATTTTTGGCTCGATTTAATTTAATTTAAATTTAAAAGGGTTATTTAAAATCAATTAAGGATTTTTAATTTAATTATGAATGGATTTCACTTTATTTCATTAAGAATTTAGAAAAAAAAAGGATTATATTTGGTTAAATTTAAAAAAAGGATAATGAAATAAGGATTGTAAATGGAAAATATTAGTGTAAAATTACTAAGTTACTATTATTAAAATGAACGGTAGCTAAACCAAAACGATGATAAAATATTTTTAATATTCAAAAGGATATATAGATCCCATAAAATAAGGATATACGAAGGTAAGTACAGTTATGAAAATCTGAAAAAAAGAATTTAATGATTAATTCAATTGGTATTCGTATTCTGATGGACAGTCAAAGTGGACGATTTGTATTTAATTTTTTAAAGGTGCGCAACTAATTTCTTTTAGAAACTAAATCTAATTAAAGGGCAGCCAATTTTGATCAGTATGTAATGTTATATGTATGTAACATTGCTATATGTATATATTTGGCTAATGGTGCTTTTATAGGAACTGAAATATAAAGCAATAATAATTTAGGATGATCCTTTAAGTGTTCTTTTGAATATTGAATTTACATTCTAGATGATCTCTTCTGAGGATTTAATATCACTCAGAGTATCAACAGTTATACATTCAATATTATTTTCTTAAGCTGCAAGTATTTCAACCGCCCAATAGCAGCAACAGACCTCATAGGCTTCCATA